CCAAATCCAATTCCACTAATGACTCCTTTTTTTATCCCTGTTCTCATAGGCCCTTCACACTTTTTCTTGTACAGTTCCATGACCTTCCCTTCAGCTGAGTATGAAGCAACTGTCCTTATGTTTCCCACCGCTTCATTAGAAACTTGGCTTGCTCCCTCATACTTGATATGCAGCAATTTTAAGATATACAAAATATACACGAGCACACACATAAACTCATTGTTAAGTTTGCAGTACGAATATGTTGCATACATGTAAATAAATAATTTATGCTAATCTATAGAGACACACCTTTGCTTCATTTTTAAATCCCTTCATGGACTTCATTTGGATAAATCCAGTGAGACCAAGGAGGGGTATCATTGCCAAAAAGATAAGAGAGAGTTGCCAATTGGCATTAAAAGCAATTGCCAAACCAGCAATTATGGTGGTGATATTCTTAACAATCAGTGAGAGGGCATCTCCAACCAGACTTCTAACCGTAGCTGCATCTGATGACAATCTTGCACCAATTGCTCCGGTGGAGTTCTCAGGATCATCAAACCATGCTATCTCCATGTTAACAATCTTTTCAAATGTCATCAATCTAATCCTTCTTATCAATCTGGATCCAGCAACTCCAAAGAAGTATGAACTTGCTGCAATTGCCACCATAGAAATGATTCCGAATAATAGGAATATTAGGGACCAAAATTCAGTCTCCTTCATGAGCTTATTTGGAGGTTGATACAAACTTTTTATAACACTGGATAGTAATAATCCAAAAATTGGAAAGACAAGCCCACTAACTATTGCAAATAACGAACCAAGCAGCAATAGTGGGATCTCTGGCTTGTTTAAGCTGGCAAGGCGACTGAGAGGAACTTCCTTTCGTTTTTCTGGATTCTGCTGTTCGTTTTGGTGCCCTGATGCACTTTCAATAGAGAGTCCCAGTCCCCTGGAGAATGAGTAGGATTGACTGCTGTGCCCTGAAGAAAATTGTCCGCTAATGGAGTGATGACGAGAACGGCTGGATCCATCAGCAGAGTAAGACTTTGCTTTGCCATTAGCAGGTTGAGTTAATAGATTGGAGTTTTCTCTCATTTGCTGCATACGAATAAGCTGGCTATATGCGCCATTTGGATCCTTTACAAGCTCCTCATGCGAACCTAGTCAAGACAAATAACATTTTATTATACTCAAAAGCCACACGTAGTTCTCTGCTTCTAAACTATTAAAAGCGAGCAACATTTGGTAAATATCTACTGACTGTATCTCCGGCAGGATTTATACCTTTTTCAACAATGGAACCGCGACACATAACAGCAATAGATTCCGCATTTCTCACTGTGCTCAAACGATGAGCAACTACAACAGTCGTACGGTTCTTCATGACTTTATCCAATGCTTCCTGTACAATTCTTTCAGATTTTGCATCAAGAGCACTAGTTGCTTCATCAAGCAATAATATTTTTGGCTTCTTTAGAATAGCTCGAGCAATCGCAATTCTTTGTTTCTGGCCCCCAGATAGTTGAATTCCATGCTCTCCGACCATGGTATCCAGTCCCTGTAGATCACCAGTTCAAGAATTTAGACGTTCGTGTATTTAAAACAACAACATAATAGTATTGGAAGGTGAAGATCAACCTCGGGCATCATGCCAATGAATTTTGAAGCATTAGCTAGTTCAACGGCAAGTCTAATCTCTTCAGTTGTTGCATCATCCTTGCCGTAAGAGATGTTATCTTGAATACTGGAGGCAAAAAGAACAGGCTCCTGGCTCACAAGCCC